GTCGAAGGTGTTGTTCCTTCAAAGGGTTGAGTATACCGAATGAGATCCGACGAGTTGGAGGAACTCCGGCGACAGATTGATGAAATGATTGACAAGGGTTGGATCAAGCCTAGTGAGTCTGAATTTGGTGCCCCTGTTTTGTTTGTCCCGAAGAAAGGAGGCAAGCTCCGCATGTGTATTGACTATCGCAGTCTAAACTGCATCACAAGAAAGAACGTTTATCCATTGCCTCGCATAGATGACTTGATTGATGCTGCAGGTGGGTGCACGGTCTTCTCCAAGATCGATCTCAAGTCTGGCTATCACCTGATTGAAGTCGATCCTGCGAACCAGCACAAGACTGCGTTCAAAACACGCGATGGGCTTTACGAATTTACCGTAATGCTCTTCGGTCTCACGAACGCACCGGCCACCTTTTAAAGTCCCATGGACAAGGTCCTCCGCGAACAGATTGGTCGGTTCATAGTGGTATACCTTGATGATATACTGATCTTCAACAAATTCATGGAGGAACACATAAAGCACCTTGAGGAAGTGTTCACCATCCTCAAGAAGACGCAACCCCATCTCAACTCAGAGAAATCTGAGTTTGTGAGGGATAGCGTCATCTATCTTGGGCATCGGTTGTCTGTTGCAGGCCTAGAGCCTGAGGCAACCAAGGTGGAGGTCATACGCAATTCGCCTCAGCCCCCGAACATCCGCGAACTGCACTCTTTCCTTGGTCTCGCGTCGTACTACCGGAAGTTTGTGCCCCGCTTCTCTATTGTTGCTCGCCCATTGTCCCAGTTAACAAGTAAGAACGTTCCCTACACTTGGGATACCACATGCGAGGACGCCTTTCAAGCCTTGAAAGAGGCTTTGGTGAGTTGCCCTGTACTCCGCATTGCGGATTCCAAAGTGACATTTGTAGTTACTATGGATGCAAGCCAATATGGAATTGGTGCAGTGTTGCAGCAAGATGACGGCGATGGCTTGCGGCCGCTCGAATACTACAGCAAACGCATGCCCAACGAAAAGGTAGCTACTTCCACCTACATGCTTGAGCTCTATGCTTTGCACATGACTTTGGACCATTGGAAGCACTATATTTTGGGACACCACTTCAAAGTGTTATCAGATTATGAACTTTGAAGTGGATCAAAGAACAAACTACCCTGTCCCCTACATTACTCCGTTGGTTCCATGAAATTGACATTTTTTACTTTGAGTTAAGGCACAAAAAGGGTTGCTATAATCGAGTTGCTCATGCATTGTCTCGCCACCCTAAGTACATGACTTGCCTTGTGAATTCCTACGACCTCCGGAAGAAACTGAAGGAGGAGATCGTAGAGCACACTGCCAAGGATTTGGACCTTAGTCCCATCCTTGAGCAGCTGCGGGCTGACCCCAATAGTCAGCCTGATTTTCACGAGTGTGGAGGACTGATTTTCCGTCGCTACGGGAATTACGACGTTTGTGTGTGCCCAACCATGAGCCTCTCCGCACACACTTTCTGGACTTGGCTTATGGCCGGAGTGGACACTTTGGCATGGCAAAGACTTACGGAAACCTATTGAGACAATTTGATTGGTCTAGCACTGCTGAAAAGTTTATGGTTGAATGTCAAGTCTGTCAACGAATCAAACCATGTAGACAAAAACCCATGGGGCTACTTACACCCCTTCCCATTCGCGATGGTCCCGAGGAGTCTGTCTCTATGAACTTCACCGACATGGGAAAGATACGTAAGAACGGCTATTCACAAGTCATGGTGATTGTTGATCGCTTCTCTAAATTTCTTAATCTGATTCCTTTGCCATCTCATGCTCCAACCAAATTGGTGATCCGTGAGTTCAAATAGGAGTACATTCTGCAGTTCGGAACCTCGAAAACTCTCGTGAGTGATCGGGACCCGCGCTTCATCAGTACTGAATAGAAAGACTTCACGTCCCAACTCCCTGGCCTCAGGCTATGTATGACATCTGGTCGACAACCCGAAGCCAACGGTTTGGCTGAGGAATCAACCAGACTGTGTTCCAACTTTTCCGCGCTTTAATCATTCTGGATTAGGAAACATGGGATGAAGAGTTGTATTCCGTCAAGGGGTTGTACAACAACTCCATTCATTCTGCCACCGGCATGACACCAAACAGGCTGCATTACGGTTGGCAGATTCGTAATCCGCTCTCCTACCTATTCCTTGAGCAACCAGCTGGTTTAACACCTGGCAGGCCGGGCTTCAGGGCCAAGTACGATCACTTGCTCAAAGTTGTCATTGTAGCAATGACCAAGCGACAACACGCCATGATCCATCATGCAAACAAGAAGCGTCAACCTTCAAATATTGAGGTGGGAAGTTATGTCTGGGTCGAGATGTCTGAATTTTCAGAAGAAGAGGAAGTTTCACGCAAACTTCTCCCACTCTATTATGGTCAATGGGAAGTTCTGGATATGATTGGCGAAGATAGCTTTGGGCCTTCATACGTAGTTGTTGTGCCACCTCAGCTGCGCACATATCCCGTTTTTCATGCATCAAAACTATATCTCCACCGTGATGCTAAATCGTTCGATTACCGTGAAGACATGATTCCCCGTGGAATCAATGGCGGACATGGGATAGACAGGATTAAACAACATGTAGGGAAGGGACACAACAGACAGTACCAGGTTCATTTCATGTATCACCCATTGGATGATCTATACTGGATTTCCAAGCAGGAACTGCTGCGCAGCGCACCACGCATTGTTAAAGCCTACGAGCGACAAATCGCCTCTAATGATGCACGTAAAATCTCCGCCAAGCTCACTGCGACAGAGTATTCTCGAAATCTCTTTGTGTCGTTTGCCTGCGATGCGTTTGTCGGGGACTCAGAATGAGTTACTCGCTCGAAGGGACCTCGCCCTTGAGGGGGGAGTAGTGTGATGACCTGACCAAACATGGACTGAAACACACGGCTGATTTCTGAGTTTTGCTCGAAGACTGAATGCCTTGCTGAGTTTTCCGCTTGCTACTAAGTTCTCTAAGTCTGTGTGTGTGCACGCTTGCTGCACTGCGTGTCTGTCTGAGTGCTGGTTGGCTTGAGTGTGTGTGTAGCCCGCAAGGACACTTGTTCGTTTGTTGGGCCCTTAGGGCCGCAACTTACCGTGGTCGTGGCATCGAGGATTGCAGCGGGGGAAAAACACTCAAGTGGCGGGGTAAGAGGCCCCCAACACTTGAAGCAGCGTGGAAACCCTCAACTAGCAGGTAGGCCGGTACCACACCCTGAAGCGGTAGATGTGCCGGGTACTGAAGGCCGAGCAGAAGAAGACAAAAGTGGCATTTTCAGAGGCCCAGTAGTTGTAGGCTAGGTCTAGGCGGGTACCAGTCTGAGTCTAGGGCCTGTACAAGCAATATCAGAGTCTGCGATGATGTTACCGGTTGCTTGGAAGGCCCAGCGGCCTGGAAGTGACCACCCAAGAGGCAAGCAGGCCGCTATATCTCCAGGTCGGGCGAATAGCCCAACCTCATTGTTGGTGTGCAAGTTTGGCGACACACTGGTTGGAGCGCTGGCTGGAGCAGCGTTAGCACTCAGCAGCGCTGCTGGGAAAGGAGCAAGGACACGGAGGAGGAAGAAAGCCAGGGCTAGGGAGAAGCGTCAGAGGTACTTACCTGGCTATGGTGGCAGCCATCTTCATCACCTCGGTGGGCACTACAGCAGGAAGACCCCAGATGTGGTTGAGCTACACCAAGAAGCTTCGAGGCGGAGTAGGTGTTGCATACCGTAAAGGTGCAAACCAGAACAAGAACCGACCTCTCTCACAAAGTACAAGATAGCGTAGCGGAAGACTTAGATACCAATGATTCGAACAATCAATATTGCAATGCAGCCCCAA